GGAAGAGAGGACAAAGAGAGAGGCTACTCCAGCAGGGGCATCTCTGTGCCTGATGGGACAGGAGATGGGCCATGAGGCACTCTGCAGGATGAGGTGATTGCCTCCCTTGTCTTTCCAATTCAAGGAATCTGGCCAGGGCGGGGTAGTCTGGAAATTACGCATACCCTAAAGGGTAGCATCGTGCCATCCAGGGAAATGCCAGCATCCCAGCATAAAAGGAACTATCTTGTGTGTGTGTGTGTGTGTGTGTGTGCACCCGCGCGCGTGTACACGCGCGCGCGTCACCCAGAAGCACTGAGCTAGGTAACCGTGCCAAGGATGTCTGCAGCCTCCACAGCCCCTGGCCTGATTGTTATCCAACCACAGGGCAGCCCCCAAAGCCTGAGAACTGTCCCTTCAAATTTTTTCAACTTTACATTCTGAGTAAATTAAATGAATCACTTTAAGCCTGAAAACTGACTTCTGGATACTTAACCAGATTAAGAATTAAGAATTAAGAAAGTTTTCTTTCACTTTCTCTCCCAACTTTTTTTTTTAGATTTTATTAATAAATTTATGAATTAATTTATTTATTTGGGAGAAAGAAAGAGAGAGAGAACAAGCACAAGCAGTGGGAGAGGCAGAAGGAGAGAGAAATGGAGAAGCATACTCTCTGCTGAGCAGGGGGCCTGATGAGGGACTCGATCCCAGGACCCCAGGATTATGACTTGAACCCAAGGCAGACACTCAACCAACTGAGCCTGGCACCCTTCTCCCAACATTTTACTTGGAAAAAGTTCAAAGGTAAAAAGTCAAACAAGTTACCATAACAAACGCCATATAATCTTTATCTAGGTTTACAATTCTAACAATCTGCTATATTTGTTTGTTTCTTTATAAACACACACACACACACACACACACACACACACACAGATATTTTCTTTGGCTGAAGAATAAGTTACAGACATCCTGATATTGAACTCCTAATTGTGTCAGCACATATCTTCAAAGAGGAAGGACTCCTCCCACATAACCACAAAATCATTATCACACCCAAGAAACTTAACATTAATTCAATAATATAATTTAACATATGATAAATAACAATATAGTTCATATTCAAAGTTTCTCCAGTTTTCCCCAGATTTTCTTGTACAGTCTTTTAAAATATCCAGAATCCAATCAAGGTTCAGCCTTATACACTTGATAGATCGTCATGTTTCTAGTCATCGTTAATCTAAGGCAGGAGTTGGTAAACTTTTTTGTGAAGGGCCAGCTAGGTGTCTGTTTCAACCAGTCAACTCTGCTCTTGTAGCTCAGAAGCAGCCATAGGTCCTTTGCAAACAAATGGGTGTGGGTGTGTGTCAAGATGTGACCTATGAATTACAGTTTGTCAAACCCTCATCTAAGTCATTCTTCCCATCTTTTCCCATTCTTCCCATCATAACGACATCACGATTTTTGATGAGTCCAAGCCTGTTGTCTTATAGAACATCCCATACATGGTTTTCCTGATTGTTTCTTCATGATTAGATGAGGTTAGAATAGGGGCGCCTGGGTGGCTCAGTCAGTTGAGCATCGGCCTTCAGCTCAAGTCATGATCCTGGAGTCCTGGGATGGAGCCCAATGTCGGGCTCCCTACTCAGGGGGGAGCCTGCTTCTCCCTGCCCCTCTACCTTTCCCCCCACTCATGCTCTTTCTCTCTCTCTCTCAAATAAATAAAAATATCTTTAAAAAAAATAAGGTTAGAATGGTGGGCAAAAATTTGAGATAGAAGAAGCTGTGGACTTCACATTACATCACACCAGGAGGCATGTAAGGTCAGTTTGTCCCATTACTGGTGAGATGAAGTTTGATCTCTTAAAGTGGTCTCTGTCAGATCTCTCTTGTAAAGGTAGTTTTTCCTTCTTTATAATTAAAAAGTAATTAAATTAAAATAACTAAAAAGTGAGGAGAAATTTCAGAACCATGAGAACATTTTGTTCCCCCATAACTTTTCACCAAATCCTTTTAGCATTGATGGTCCAGGAGTTGGTTATCTTAGCCTAGGTCAATGAATACATTGACATTTGCAAAATCATAATTATCAAATTCTATCATTTCTCCACATTTATCATCTGGCATAGTGGATGTGGTGGTGTGCTTTCCTGATTCCCCCTTGAGGACAGGCACTCACTCCTCCAGCTGTTCGGTGTTGTCTGCTGAAAGCTCTTAGCTGAGACCCTCCCCTAAAATCACCTTCTATGGAAAGAAACTACTTTCTCCAAGGTTACTGCTGCTCCTTGAGGATGGTCCTCATCTCTAAGAATGTAGTGGGAGGGAACAACTGCTGCACCTTTGCCCCAACTTGGGACAACTCTGATGAGTCATTCCAACCCCACAACTCCCTATTGAGAGCAGCTATTGGGGTGCCTGGGCTGCTCAGTGGGTTAAGCATCTGCCTTCAGCTCAGATCATGATCCCAGGATCTGGGATTGAGCCCCACATCAGGCTCCTTGTTCAGCAGGGACCCTGCTTCTCCCTCTGCCTGTCATTCCCCCCACTTGTGCTCTCTCTCTCTCTCTCTCTCTGTCAAATAAATAAATACAATTTTTAAAAAAGAAAAAGAAAACAGCTACTAGTCAGCTATGATGACATTACAGTTTACCTCCCCAATCTGTCCAGTCCTGCTTTCTGAGGTGCCCCAGAGTGTTGATCATAGAAGCCTACAGATCATGACCTGAGCTGAAATCAAGAGTCAGATGCTTAACTGACTGAGCCACCCAGGAAACCCCAAATATTATATTTTCTTCTTTGTTATTTCATTTATTTATTCAACAAATATTTATTGTACATGCTCTTTGTGTCAGAGAACATTGGAAGAAACTAGGGGTACAGCAGTGAACAAGACCAACTTGTCATCACAGAACTGACAAGCAGGAGGGGGGCAGATAGATGACACATGTGAGCATAGAGACACCTAACCCAGCCTTGGAGTAGAAAAGATCAGTATAGTCTTCTGAGGGGAAGAGGACACCTAACCTGAGAATTTAGAGGTAAAAATAAATTTCCCTGAAATGTGAGGGAAGAGTCCTCTGGGTAAAAGAAAAAAGTATGCATAAAGCTCTGGAGGAAAGAAAAAAGAAAGAAGGATAAAAGAAAAGAAAGATCAGTGTACTGGAAAGTAGATGGAAAGGATGAGAGATGGGGAAAAGTAGGGCAAGGGAAGAGACTAGACAGACTTGGAAGGCAAGTCTTGAGACCTATCAGCTAGTTCTTGGAGAACTTTTTAAGTTATAGTGAAGGAATGGGACTGTATCATATAGGTGGCATGGGACCATTAAAAAGTTTTAGGCAAGGGATTTTGCAAGATTTATAAAGATAACTTTGGCCTCAATGCAGATTGATAGAGAATATAAGGGAGGAGGCATGTTTGGAGACACTGATGATATTGTAGACTTTATGGCTATCTCCCCAACAATTATTCCTCTCTCATCTCATTTTTATAACAGCCATGAAGTTTGGTGGGTTTGAATTCACCCAGCTCCTGGGTGGACTCTGATGGACTTAGATGGAACAGGATAATCTCACCTCTTTCCAAAGAAACTGTTTCAGGAAGCAGGTCTAAGCTAATCGGTCCATGGCATTTCCTTGTCCTTAGTTGGGCTTAAGGATGATCCAATCAACGCTAAGATCAAGTGTTTTGTCTGGAATTCTTGGTCATACCCTCTCTCTCAATCCAGAGAGAATGATGTCAACCTATGAAACCCTGAAGGCACTGCAGCCTTTTTGTTAACATTAGAGCAGCCAGCCTGAGGAAGAAGTTGGACATGGGAAAAGAGGAGATGCAAAGGGAATCTCAGACAGATAAAACTAGAGCTCTGATCATATCTGAAACCAGTGTACCTCTGGTCTTTGCATTTATAGTTTAAACTAGTATGAGTAACATTTTCTGTTACTTGCTTGTTTTTGTTACTTGTAATTGGTACAAATGATGGGGTCCATTTTGCAATCTGATTTTGGGGTATTTGTGGGATATCTTAGTGGTACTGCCAACTGACCATTTTTCTAAGTCACAGAGGCAGTGTTTTTCTCATCAATGTGTGTACTTTATATTTTAAGACTATAATAAGACTATTAACCATGAATTTGGCAAATATTTTTGTTCAATTTTCTGTTCACTTTTGTTTATCATAGGTGTTGACATCCAACACTTTTAATTTTCAGTTAGATAAATCTACTAATTACTTCCTTTGTCAATTCTTTTTTGTCAGAAAATCTGGAAGGATTTTTACATACTCTAGGCTGTCCAGAGACTGGGTGGAACCCAGTGGGAAACCCAACATATTCCACTCCTCTGACCACAGAGATTCATCATGGGTGAGCACCTTTTCCAAGATGGGCCAATGAGAGTCCATTTCAGAACATTTGTGGGAACCACTGGGAAGCAGATGTTCTCTCTCTCTCTCTGCTACAAATCCTCATCTGGTAGGATGGAAATCTAAACACGTTCATCAGTGTCTTGCTACCATTTGGGAAAAATCTGCTATAGAATGAGGTTCACACAAAGAAAAGCAGAACCAAAACATGACGAAAGAGAGACCAAGTCCTGATGACATAGCTTAAGAACTGCATCCCATCAAACCCAAACTTTTGGCCTTTTCATTACATAAGCCAGTAAATTCCCTTTTTTATTTACTTCAGCATGATTGCTTGCAACCTAAAGAATTGGGCAATGAAGAACATGGAACAGAATCTCACTCTGAGGTAGTTCTTTTAGAAGGTTTTTTTTTTAAGATTTTATTTATTTATTTGAAAGAGAGAGATCACAAGTAGGCAGAGAGACAGGCAGAGAGGGAGGAAGAGAAGCAGTCTCCCAGCCAATCCCAGGACCCTGGGATCATGACCTAAGCTGAAGGCAAAGGCTTTAACCCACTGAGCCACCCAGGCACCCCCTGAGGTAGCTCTTTTAAACACTAGGACTTTCCCAACCATCTCTGCCTCAAAGCATCTTTGTCCAAGCTGCTCACATACCTCACCTAGAGGGGCTCTGTGTGCTCAGAACACTGCCATTGTCCAGTTCAGCTCTGCTCCTTGATGGTCTCTGGATGACTGTTACTGGGAGGGGGATAAACAAGGACAGCCTGACAAAGAACAGGATAGAAGGATCAGAGAAGTAAAGATGCACACTTCTACTCACACCTTGGTCTCATCTCAACAGTACTTAACTTGTGATAGAATGTTGTGAACATCAAATGAGATAAATTATGTTGTGTGAAAGCATGCTTTAGTTTGAGACTTGTATTAGTCAGAGTTCTCCAGAGAAACACGATCAATAGAAGATACATATTATATATAATATGCATATCCTATTGGTTTTATATGAGAGAGATTTATTTTAATGTGATTGTAGGAACTAGCAAATCTGAAATCTGCAGGACAGTCTGGAGACAAAATTCTTTTTTCCTTTGGGAATCTTAGTCTTTTCTCTTAAGGCCTTGAACTGATTGAATGAGAGTGGGCCTCATCCTTGAAATGAAGGGTATCATCCAGAGGGTAATCTGCTTTATTCAAAGTTTACTGGTTTAAATATTAATAACATGTAAAAAAAATACCTCATAGCAACATTCAGCCCACCTCATCAAAATGATTTCTAATGATCTGTTAGCTGCTAACTCTGTTAGTTTCTTCGTCAATTTTGCTGAAAACACAAAAAGGTACCTCTTCTTATCTGGTTCCCCTCTAATAACAGGAAACAATAACAGAAGATCTCATACTCTTTCTTAACCCGTAAAGGTGGTTATGGATTTTTATAAACAGATCCTTATCTTCCTCTCTCCTCCCAGAATCTGTGAATGTTTCAGCTACTTCCTCGCTATTCTCAAGGCCCAACCCTACTTTCTGCTCTGATTGCCACATTCCTAATCCCAGGCCATTAATTCCATCACCATTTGGTGCCCACTAGCCCTCACTTCTTTTTTTTTTTAATGTTTTATTTATTTATTTGTCAGAGAGAGAGAGCCCAAAAGGGGGAAGCAGCAGGCAGAGCAAGCAGAACAGGTAGAGGGAGAAGCAAGCTTCCCACTGAGCAAGAAGCCTAATGTGGAACTCGATCTCAGGACCCTGGGATCATGACCAGAGCCAAAGGTAGTTGCTTAACCAACTGAGCCACCCAGGTATCCCTAGCCCCCATTTCTTGACCAGTTCTTGCTTTCCTCTCTGGGATGAGCAATGTTTTTAATGCCCCAAATCTATGGGGTATCTGGGGGGCTCAGTTGGTTAGGTGGCTGCCTTCAGCTCAGGTCATGATCCCAGGGTCCTACGGTTGAATCCCACATTGAGCCCCATGTTGAGCTCTACCCCCCTCCCGACCACTACCACTGGGCTCTCTACTCAGCAGGGAGTCTGCTTCTCCCTCTCCCTCTGTACCCCCCATACCATGTCCTCTTGCACATGCTCTCTCTCAAATAAAGAAATAAATTTTTTTTTTAAAAATTCCCAAGTCTATTCCCTGCAGTTGTCCATCAAGAGCATCCTTAAATGTCCAGTTTCTCTAATTTATTGGTCACTATTGATGCCTTTTTTCCCTAAGCTGTGGAACCTCATCCAAAATGGTATATCTGTAACCATCAGTTGAACAATGGCTCAAATCCTTCCAGCTAGGAGTCTTTGCATCTAGATGCAAGGACGCCTCACCCAGCCAGCCACACCCACCGAGGAGGGAAGAGGCATACAGCAACTCTGGAGTGTCCCCCACAATACACAGGGTGTGTTCTTCTCACTTCTCAGCTGAAGGAGACGCCCACCTGCTGCTAGGGTCTCAGGAGGCACACAGCTCTTTGCAGGAAATAGAACCACTCCCTCCTTCACCCCCCCTTTTTTTAAAGATATATTTATTTATTTGAGAGAGAGAGAGAGCATGAGTACAAGGGTGAAGAGAGGGGCAGAGGGACAGGGAGAGAGAATTTTAAGTGGACTCCCTACTGAGTGAAAAGCCCAATTCAGGGCTCCATCCCACAACCCTGAGATCATGACTTGAGCCAAAATCAAGAGTTGGCCACTCAAATGACTGAGCCACCCAGGCACCCCCCTCAGCCCCTTTTCAAATAAATGTTAACTGAGATTGTTCAAGGCAGAGGGCGGTGTCCTGAATTATCACTGAGTAAGCACTCAGTACCTTCCAAAGTCAGCAGTTTTCCCTTTTACTTTTACTCATTTCTTTCCAGCACAAATTTTGTGGTCTGCACATGCCTATCAGTTGTCTGCATGGGTTACATTCCTTCACAGAGAGACAGGAAAACTCAGAACACAGGTGTCCCCCTCCCCCTGCCAGTACCCTCCTCCTTGCAGAGAGTGCTCTGCCCATTCTCCAAATCCTAAATCAGAGTTCTCAGCTCAACCTGTGAACCTCCCTGGATGGAGTGGAAAAGGCATTTATTTTACCTAATATGTCTCCCACACAGTTTGACTGAAGCCTGGAGGCAGAGCCAGTAAAAGATTCTGCCTTTAGTGAGTTCACCATCTACCAAGGAAAACCAGCATGATAAATGACCCTATATCTGCTGTGGTGCTGGTTACATCAGAGTCAGCACACCCCAGGAAACCAAGCTTCCAGCCTCTCTGGGAAGAAGGCTGTAAAGCAGGAAGGAAAGAGGTGCTGCCCTTTAGGAGCAGAACCTAGACTGAAATTAAAGGCTGAGTGGAAGCTGGCAAGGAAAAGTAAAGGTGTTGTGGGAAAAAAGAGGCAAAAGAAAAATTATTAAATCCCTTACTACTTACAGCCCACTGACAAGTCCTTGAAACAGGCACAGTGACATTCCTCTAGGGACTCAGCTGCATCAATGTTAATACTTTGCTAAGGGCAACAGGTATTCTTAGCCCAACCCCCAAGATCTTGTAAGTCTACTTTAACATATAAAAATTCCTTTGGAAATTTTCTTTCTATCTACCCCCCAAGAAACATGTTGGCAATCATCCCCCAAGCATATGACCACCAATATACATTTAAAGGGCCTTATGAGTCAGGTTTTATTAGACAGTAATAAGTGACCTCTTCCCAACAATAGCTAGCCCCTTCAGGGTCCTGGAAATGCTGCTCCCAAAATTCCTTAGAGACTTAGGCTATCCCTAACTCCCTCCCAACTTGAAAGTATATAATGGGCCACTCCTCATGATCACAGTGCAGCTCTTTCCGGCCATGAGTCCTGTCCCAGTGCTTTAATAAAATCACCATTTTGTGCCAAAGATGCTTCAAGAATTCTTTCTTGGCCATTGGCTTTGAACACTAATGTCTTTCCTATATCAAAGGGAGCAACCGAATCCCAGGGAACAGCCGGTGACAGTGAACAGCTCTTAATCTCTCCTATTGCCAGGGATGGGGGAAATAGAGTTGAGAAAGGGTCCTCCAAGGAACAACACCAAGGAGAATTAACAGAGGGGATAAGATGAATCAAAGTGGACACAGGAAAAAGAGTTTAGTATAAGATCTAAAAATTATACTAGCCTTAGTGATTATCAACTACGTACGAATTTTTTTTCACCTGAGTTTTTTTAAAAGTAGGCTCCATTTCCAACATGGGGCTTAAACTCACAACCCTGAGATCAAGAGTCATATGCTCTACTGACTGAGCCAACCAAGCACTTCACAACCACATATGAATCTTTTTGAGGAGTTGTAGCAGAATATCAATCCGAGTAGAGACAGATGTCCAAGGTTTAAAGATAAAAGGGAAGAATGCAGAAAATCTTCCCTTCTCCTTGCCTCTCCCAACTCCTCCACCTCCCAATGGCCTAAGGAGAGGAGGAACTATGATGAAACCTGCAAAGACTTTTTCAGTTTCCAAAGAAGAGAAAAGAGTCTGAAGGCTTATGATTTTTAGAAATCACATGACCCAAGAAAAGAAGAAATCTGTCACTTTAGGGGAGGATTGAAAGGATATTGGAAGGTAGGGAGAAGGTAGTAGAGTGAAAAAAAAAGGTGAGGTGGTCCATGTGGGACCATTTGCACCAGTCAAGAGACCATCCACATGGTAATCATGAAGATGTGAGCAGGATGATGAGGAGAGAGTAGGCCAGGAGACAATTCCCATTCCATATGGTTTCCATTCTATTGCTGGGGATCTGGAATAAAATGAATAAAAACCTGTGGTCCCATGCATGTGCATGTGTTCTCTAGGCAGAGACAGAAAAGCAGGCCATCCATACACACCTCACAATCTCCTGACTCAAGCCAGCACTCCTGCACAAATCATTGTACTACCAAAGTCCATGCTCTCTCCACTGTACCTGTCTCACCACCTTCTAAAAGTGAGCAACTTTTTTAGTGGTTGCCCACTGAAAGAACATTCCAAAGTGTCTCCTCTGTTTCAAGCATGGTGTCAAGTGCTGAGGTCACAAAGATGAAAGAGATGCAGTCCACTTCCTAGTGGGGCAGACATTAGAGTTGAAAGAAAAGTATGACAATACAGAGAGAATAACCCATGAAAATAACAGAGATGAGCCAAGTGGTCCACAAGGAAGGTAGATTAGGTCTGGGAATGCTGCACAGAAGATGAGGTTTCTTACTGTTTCTGGATGAGACAAACTCTGACTGGTGGAGCCTCTGCCTGGACCACTCTTTGCCCACTTTACCTGAGCCATTCTCTGGCTTCATACAGGTTTGTTATCAAAAGTTATCTGTTCAGGGAAATGACCCATGTAAGGTAACATTCTTCACCACCACACTTCTTCCTTTTGCCTTCCTTTATTATTCTTCAGCAAACTTATTTAACTGCATTTGTACCCATGTTCTCTGTCTTCACATCCATTACTAGATGAACTGTCCATTCTCCTACTAAGGCTAAATCTTGGGTATTAGATATCATGCCTCTCTCCTTCCCCAAGATATCTTACCAGTAACTATCTCTTCAATCCCTATTCATTCATGTTTTCCCTACCATTCCCAACAGTGTGCCTGTATTATTTCACATCTTGAGAAGATTTTTAAAAACCTCCCCTGGAACGTTGTCATTTCTGGGAAAATGGAGTAAATATACATATATCTATTCTTTCTCCTAAGTACAAGTAAAAATCCTGGACATTATGTATAAGACAAATAAAAGAAATTCTGAGCAGTGAGAACAAGGCAAACTATCTAAAGACCTCA